AACAAACAGACAGTCAGACAAAAATGTATAAAAATGGTGTTTTTCTTATAAGTACCGTATATAATATCATAATTTTACTAAAGGTAGTAAATCACTGTTATTGTGACATTACAAACAGACACTTCAATTTTATTTATCTGTATAGATGTATAGAAGATGTAGGTATATAGATTTTGCTTCCCGACGTTTCGAAGGCTTTACTGCAAACATGGTCACGGGAGAGACTAAGGTTTTAGAAAAGTCAATATGTAGTTGTTACAGACGGTATCTTCCAACTTTATATAAAAACTTCGAACGTGGTTAAAACATATTCTATTTTTCTATGGTTTGAAATGGTAGAATAGACAGACCACCATTATAGTTAATATTAAGGATCTCATCCCATCCCTTGAGATAGAGACCGGAAAGATTGGAATAGTAGGAACATGAATATTAATATTCTGCGAAATTAAAAACTAACCATTTTGTTAAGTTGATGACGTTAAAATCTGAAATGGTGTCAAGGGTGAAAGCATAGAATTTGTCAAAGCACAGTAGTTGCACCTTTTAGTTTTGAGGAAATGCCGCCGTTTTAACTGGCTATATGCGAAATATTGCATTCATTCTAAATCGTACTTTACCACCATGCGCACTAGAGCGCAATTCATTTGTGTTTAGAATTTATTTACACGACCATTTGAGCGTCAGGCTATGAAGCGAAATAAAATAAAACACTATCGAAATTATTAGCAATATCTTATATTTACAACTAGCGCCTCATCCTCGCTCCGCTTAGGTTCGTCCCTAGATATTATGTTTTAAAGGTTAGTATAGATTTCTCAGAGTTGAGATATTTTCCTGCAATAAAAAGTCTCTTATATGTTAGCACGGATAACCAGCTATCATTATACTAAATTTCATCAAAATCAGTCCAGTAATTTTCTCCCCGTACCCAGACAGACAGACAAAAATTCTAAAAACTATAGATTCGGACTCTGTATCGATAATAATGACTAAGATGTTCCAAAAATATTTAATGTACATACATATTCGACTCAGAATTTTATTATATGTATAATATATGTTTTCCATTTTCTTGTTCCGCTATATGTGTTTTTGGTATTTAGTCTCTGAAGTACCTATTATTGAACTAGTGGCTCACCCACGCTCCCCTCAGGGTCACCTCTAAAAAAACAAAAACAAATTATCCCACAGGAACCGTACATTTTTCCGGAAAAAAGTAGCCTATGTGTTATTCTGATGTATGAGCTACATTATTGTAATGTTTCATTAAATCCATTCAGTAGTTTTTGCGTGAAAGAATAACAAACATCCATACATCTATACATCCAGACTTTCGCGTTTATAATGTTTTTAACGTTGGGAAATGCATTTGCGCACGAGGCGTGGGACTCACCGGCAAAGCCAGTACTACACACTAAAACCCAACAAAACCTTCCCCCGTCTTAATGGGGCGTCGCAGGATCGCTTACGCATTCAACGACGACACCCCGACGGCACTTCTGCCGAAGCAGACCACAACAACCCTGGGGATGCTCCACAATCCACTCTACTATCAGAGAAGTACGCAACAAGGGTTAGCATTGCGACTCTCCATTATAACAAAATGTAGTAATTGAGAAATGACTACAGTTCATATTAGTTCAAGATCCCGGGGCCACCAGACAAAATGTGGACAATTGAATAGTGTTAGTATGTACTAAGATCGCATGTCTACCTGCTAGCTTGGTTAGACGGCCAATTTCAAGGTATCAGGTAATCAAGGTAGGTAACATAAAAACATTACTTACCTCACGTTCGTTCGTCAGAAAATACGTGACGTCTGGTGGCCCTGGGATCTTGCTCTATATTAAGCATCACAAAGAAACAAATAATGACTAGTGCTCACAAGCGCGTGACAGTCCTGACTTAAATGAGGAATTAATGTGACGGAGATCTGTTAAAAATTCCATAGTAGTTAAATCATAGGGATGTACACTGTACAATCTCCAATTGATATAATAAATAAATGATAAAAAATACATTTGCTATAGAATTTATAATAATATATCTTAGTATTAACTTTTATCTATAAAAATGAAAAACGAATCAAATTTTTGGCTTGTACCAAATACTAAATTTTATCCATGACTGCGCACGTGCCCCTATCGTAAATTGATCTAATTCTATGTTACACAAGGATATACATATATAATTTAGATTAGTAAAAGAACATTTTATCGGCTCGGAGGTTTTAAATATATTTGACCGGCAAACTAATAAACTAATTTTACGTTTTTTAAATATAAATCCATATAATAATTAACGAAAAGTAATATTATTGTGTAATGAACTATAGATACTTATATGTAGATATATCACATTGCCGTATGTCTAGATTAACCTGATAAAAATTAGTCATATGTAGATAACAAACTATAAACGACAACCACCTGTGCAGTGTGCATTACTCACTTGCCCCATAAATTGCCTTTTCCTATGTTTCTATTTCCGTTGATAGTGCAGTGGTTCGGTATCGTCGACCTGATCTGATGGTAAGGCCAGAAGGTGGATAGGAACTCTTCAACAGCTAATAGTAGATACTTTGAGTTTGGGCTTATTTTGTTTGATTTGACAAGCCTAACATGTTAGAATCGGATTTCAGAGCCAGAATTTTTAGTGTTACTAATAAAAGCGAATTTTAGTTTGAAAGTCTTTGTATCAAAATTGGCTACAAAGTAACTTAAACATTATAAGCGAATATTTTATTAAAATACTTTCTTCTTACTTTGCTACTACTATGTCTACACTAAAAAGGGAAAAATAAAAACTTTTTAACAAATAAATAAAAACCGATTTCAAAAACGCACTAAAAAGTAAAAAAATAACTGATTGGTAGTTTTCATTTACTATACATACCAAATGTAATGTAATTTTCGAAGTCGGTGCCAGCCGACACAAAGCATAGCACACCGTCTGTCTGTCTGGAAATGCATAAAGAGAAAACCACTTTTTTCATGTTTTTGGTGATAACAGTTATCGCGGGTCAACATAAAGGATATTTTTTACTGCGGGCAAATATCTTGTCTCTGAGAAATATAAACTAATCGTTAAAACGTATATATAAAATGTAGGGACGAACCCGAGCGGAGCGAGGGTGAGTCGCTAGTTTTTACATGAAGTAAGACTTTACTGAATCAGACTCAAATATTAAATATACGTTAAGATGTTTCAAATAGTGAGAGCGCGTAAACCAGTGTACATTACTATCATTGTTATTAATTATACCTACTTAATACGTACGTACGAGTATACTGCATATCGGCTTCGTACCTACAACCTTTTCAGGTCACTTAAAGCATATTAAAAGCATATTACTATTGATACTATTTGTCATTATGAATTCGTTAATAAATGATATTTACAAGACATTTATTTTATTACCCGCGATAGCCACGGAGACGGTACATGCGTTTGAGGTAACAGTTGTTGTGCATGCGTGCGCATTTGCATTGCATTTCTCCAAAACAGTTATTAATGTTTTTACATATCATCCTCTTATGTCATTGCTATTTGTCGTGACGCGTCGCGCCTCGCGAATCTGAAATTGGCTGAGAGGACGTACTATGTCTAGTTTATTTTTCTTTGAATGATTGAACCTAATTAGGTTTTGAAACGAACGTGGTGGTTTGAAAAACTATTTTGATGAAATTATTTGTTCCTGCATGAAAAATGTTTCGTAATGTAAATTCGGCCTTATAATAGATGTAAATATAATAAGTCATAGGTACTAAATTATTTGGTATCAATCAGGAAAAATCTATAGATAAGAATAACTTTGTAGTAAACTAAATAGTTATAGTTGTTTTAAAAGATTAAGAGATAAAGTTTTAAAAAGTTATGAAATACGTGACATTGTGTGTATTATTTAATTATAATCTCGTTTATATGTAACTAGTGTATATACGAGTAACGATGTACATAATATGTAAGTACTTTTCTTAGCAGTATTTAAACTTGCAAGCTGCATCGGCTGTACCTAGTTTTATTTATTTTAATTTGATACTTACTACCTAGCAATGGCTTGCACTATAATATTATAATAGCATTTATTTCTTATACAGGTTTTTAAGGCTTAACTTAAAAAAACTTGTTTTAACTTTGTGACATTAAATTAAATCTTTAGGTACAATCTAAATTGAAAACTAAAGTAAATATAAAAATAAAAATTTAAATACCATACTAGGTAATAAATAAAAATATATATTAATAGACTGTTTTAGTAAACCAATAATAAAAAAAATATGGGGAAAATAAACGGAACATGGATGTAAGAGTCTGACATGAAGTGTTCAGAACCATTACAGATTCTGAACAACCACGATAAAGAATGACAATATGTGCCAACCAATCAAATAAGGCTTTTTAGTAAGCATTTCGTGGATGAATCACACTCATCGTGTCTAGTTACCTACTGTTATTTTCTATTTACTTTAGGGTTACCGAGTTATGATTAGGTACACTGATGTTTTTTTGTAAGTAGAATAAAAACAAAAGCAAATATAATACACGATTCTTGTATGTTGTTTTTTGTTTATATATAATCTTTTATGGAAAAAAACATACTAACGAAAGGACAGGTGACGTGGTCTTAGTAGGTAATAAATTCCTGAAGTAGCATTTTCACTAAGACATTTGGATTGAGAAGATGACTATCTTTATGAATGTAGAATAAGTAAAGAACGGTACGTAAAAGAGAAAGTTGACAGAAGAAAAACGCTTTTCCCAAAAAAGAACATATCATTACCTGTCAACTAAGTTAATAGCGATGTATAATATACCAACAGACTGCTCTAAAGAATTGCATAAGCATACTTGTATATTTATCTATTATTTATCTTTCAGCAATTGAATCATTATTTCCGAAGAGATTCCTACAAAACGAAATGACTAATATGGGTTCAATTCAAAAGTATCTGTGTCTATAAATGATTGTCAAGATATTTAATTTATTCAGTGACATGGCGCCAACGATACAAAACGTGGATATTCTGAATTCAAGAACCCAAATTAATATGCGTCTTATAAACAAATTAGAACATGTTCAAAACAACGACACGTTGCTACCACAAGACTTCACCAATATAAACAGTGATAATGATTTTGATATAATCAAATATGAAGCTATGGAATTTAGGTCGCGTATTAAGTGGCCAGATTTATTAGTGCAAGTGTCGTTGCATTTAGTGACAATATATGGATTCTACCTCATTATAACTTGTGACGTGAAGTTCCTAACTATACTTTTTGGTAAGTAAAATCAAATTATATAATAAGTGTATAAGTTTATTTTACGTTCTTGTTTATTATAATAATAGGATATTAAGTTAGATGTGTAATTAAATAATAAATATTGAATTATAAAATTAAAATCTTTTTGCTAATGTTTTTCTAATGACTCCCGATCTCCGTTTAATATGTTTGCAATAAACTAGAGATTAATAAATTAAATTGGAATTGAAACGTAATAACGCAAACTTGGTCAGTTTTTTTACATGTTATTTTATTTAAGTATAAATGGCACTTTATTTACACCAATATTAACATATGTACGTAATATCATTTTTAAGATAAAATAATAAAAACCCTGTTTTGCATAGAAACTCTTCGTATAAGGTGTTATAGAAAGCAAACCACTCAGATTAGCCCAAGCGATAAGGTCTCGACCTGACCCTTACGGTACGGAAGCTCTACAATTTATACTTATATCCAACGAATGTTCATTTTGTCGCCAATATATTGGTCTAAATATCTTAGCTCAAAAAACTTCTGTATGTAAATTGTATGTATTGTATTCAGTCCTTTTACTGGGTACGGGCCTCCATTCAATACGATCCCCTCAAGCCATAACCATCACGCCGGCCACGCTGACTATGGCCATGGGGATAATACTTCAATTATGTAATAATTTATTGAAAATTAATCGGATAATAGTTCAATTAAAAATTTATAATTTCATTCTATTTCAAACTTTGTTAACTAACAGTGAGCTTGTGTATTGTGATATATTTCGGTATTCCTACACTTATTATTAATTGATTTAACTGCCTCGGTGGTGTAGTGGCTAGCATGTACGGTTGCACACCCGGAGGTCCTGGGTTCGAGTCCCGGGTCGGGCCAAGTTTAGTTATTGAGTCTTCCTGTATAGTAAGTCTCAGTAACAGCCCGGAGTTGGGAAGTTGGCGGTGTTTCACCCCCGTGCCTCGGAGAGCACGTAAAGCCGTCGGTCCTGCGCCTTAACTCTCACCGGTCGTGTCGAGTGGTCGTCCCACCGGAGTATGAGAGTGATAGGAATAGAGAGTGCACTTGTGTCTGCGCGTACACTTGAGCACTATAATATCTCCTGCGCAGTTGGCTAATCTCATTGAGATTGGCCGCCGTGGCCGGAATCGGCTAGGAGAACATCATCATCATCATCATCATCATTAATTGATTTTTATTATTTATTATTGATATATATATACATTATAATAACATTGTAATTAAGGCGAATCTGTACATTGAATATTTTTTGGAAAATCTTATTGAAATAGACATTATTATTGATACAGAGGCCGAATCTATATATATGTATATATATATATATATATATATATATAATATATAGTTTTTAGAATTTTTGTCTGACAGTCCGTGACCGTATGATTAGTATGGTGATAGCTGGTAATCGGGGTCAACATATAGGAAGGATACTTTTTACCGCGGGAAAATATCTCATTTCTGAGTAATCTATATTAACTATTAAAACTTATCTATGGACGAACCCGAGCGAAGTGGGTGAGTCGCTAGTTTATTATATAGGGCATATCGCATGACGCTCTTAGAAGTTGAGTGTTGTTAAATAAATATCAGTATGACCTTCAAACGCCCTTGAAATTCAATAACAAGTTGTTGTTCGTACATAATCTATGTTAAAGTCCGAACATGATCAGCTTAGATTTTGACACTAGTTATTTGGCAATCTAACATCTGCCATATTTGCTCTTCCATGTTTAGGTACTCGTATAGGTAAGGCGGTTCTAAAGGTAAACCGAGAAAGTTAAAAACTCGTAAAGAGAACGTTTCGTAAGGTTTTAACAGAGTGTGCTGATAGTTTGTAAATCCTACTATGGGAGTACCGATCTGTCTTCATATATTTATCAGTTACTTCTAAATTCATGTAGTAGGTACTGCTCGAGTTAGAAGCTAATGAGAGAGACCCATCCGGTATGCTCTTGTAGGTACTATTTGCTATATATATATATAATGTCCTCCTGAACGATTTCGGCCACGGCGGCCAATCTCACTGAGACTAGCCTATTTGTTATACTGAGTACATTATTTCATTGTTAAATAGTAAATACCATGACGTACAATTATACAAGTACATTAAAATGTATCGTGTAGTTCCACCGTTTAATAAAAACAAATATAAACGGCTACAACATGGGAAATATAAATCAACTAAATTTTCTTCTTGCTTGTGAAAGTTCCATTGAAATCGTCTCAGCTCTTTGCAGACAGATGACGACAGACTAACAGATACAAAAATTACATCAATAAATAACGGTTACACAAACATTATTATTGCTTTGAATTTGATTTTATGCAATATTTCGATACGGTCTAAGAGCTGGCAACGTTGTTGAGAGAGAATTTAATGTCTGACAAATTAATTTTACGCTTCTTTATGTTTAAATTAAATAATATTAAAATTTCAGCCATACAAAAATAGTTTAAAATTCTTTTTTTTTGTTATAAAAAATGGCATCTGGCATATTATTATTAACAATAAAAATGTCTGGCATTAATTATAATTAATGTTGTTTATAGTTTTAAAAGAATATTGAAATAGAAAAAAATCTTCTTAAAATTATTTTAAAAATCAACATTTTTACCTGTTTAGGCGTTATGTGCAGAAGGAAACGCAACGTCTACCGACAGCCAGATGGCCTGCATGACGATCGAGAAAACGTAAGAAAAGACATAAAAAACTGGTTTTCTTGAAATTCTTCTTTTCCCAACGTTGCCAGCTCTCGTACCAATATAACAGATAATCATTCAATTATATTAGAGACTCATTTATACATGTACAGGTAGGTGTTTAATGGTTACATCATAAAAGTCTACTGTTGCAATGTAAATTTCAATGTTAGATTACTAGCAGAACCCGCGGCTTTGCTCGCGCTAAAATTACAACAAACTCTAGAAAGGAAAGATTTTTACAAACTTTCATCTCCTATTTCCCCTTACGGGTTGAATTTAGAAAAATGCTAAAATACGTATTTATTTAATTGTATTACTTTTTAGTTTATATTATTAATATCCAGTTAAAAGTAGTTCTGATCATAAATAGTTTTTTGGATTGTATTATATCGTGTTTTCCCGTAGGAATGAGATAATCTCCCGCGGTAAAAAGTAGCCTATGATACTCTCCTACCCTCCCACTCTGTTTAACGTGAAAAAAGGGAAAACAAACAAACAAACAAACACTTTCAGATTTATAATATTAGTACGAATTATGTAAATATCATTAGTAAAAGCAAAATGCAGTCACTCAAAAACTTACGTTGTGACCTATAGCGATGTATTCGTTGTAAACTTTTTTATTTCCATCTACCAAATTGTTTCTGTTTTCCAAGAATTCATTACACTTACGAATGTTTTAATAAAAATGTTTGCTTAGTGCGGTATGTTCGTGACGTGGTTAATTTTTTCAAAATTTTATAACTCATACTTTGAAAGGTAGAGTGGACACAATGCTTACAACTTTATAAGTATAATTATTATATCACGGCAACAATTGCCTTGAAATAAAAGTTACGCATAAAGATAATGTAGGTACATCAAATTTATACTACACTAGATAGGTAATAATAAAAAAAAATGTCCAGTAAGACCCCACAGCCCACACACTCATGGATATGACACATGACTTTTTTTATTCCTCAATAACATGTCACATACTGATGCATCGGTTTACAAGAGACACCTTGTACCAAATTTAAAAAATATGGCTCCAGTAGTGTCTGAGTAAAATGCCCATGACAGATGGACAAGCGCAGGTATATATGTAATATCGTAATAGAGTTCCGTTTCATTTTGTTTGCCTTTTGACTACGGAACCCTAAAAAGCTATTTATTTCGCATTTTAATCACCAAGATCGATAGGTTAGAATGTCTTAAATGAATTAAAGCATGAAAGTTTCAATTTAATTTTCTTGTTAACGGCTTTCAAGCGTGCCAGTGGAGCACAGAATAATTCGCGAATGTCACGTAGAATGGAGAATACACGGAAGAGATTGATCGGTAAAATACTACGAATAAGTAATAAGTCAGGAAGTCTAATTCAGAACAAATTCCTCACAAAAATTGACCCTACTTCAAACCAAAACGACGTATGATTAAAATACGAATCACTTTTGAGGTTACAAACAGACATGCTTGGTGATTGGTTTAAATTCAGACCGAATGCAGGGATTGGTTTACGCGTGTGCTGCAATGTCTGCTATGATAGCTGAGTCTAACGGCGTGGACGATGTTATGCAATAAGTGGACCGGACCAAGTAAATAATAAAACAATAGTATAGTACAATATTTTTTTATTATATTTTTTTGGCTATTTTTTACAATTCAATGAATTCTATGTCTCGCGAAATATGATTAATTTATTAAGTTTTTGTCTAGTAGACATTAAAAGAGAAATTCAACGATTATACATTTTATTAACGTGAAACTACAGACTCAAACCTTAAGTCAAAGTGTAGCTGATGCATTTAAGTTTTGTTCACAACTATTAAACATGCCTGATTTTCAAATCACAGATGCAACTGTTAGCTTTTTAGAAACGTTTAACTACCTTTTTGGCATACTAAATTCAATATCACTTTTTGGACAAGGGTTTGAAAAGAATTAAAATAAGATTATTTTTAAATTTTGTTTTCATTACTTTCAGTGTTGCTATTATCCTCCTGAAAATAACATTGAGGATCAGTTTCAAATCTACGAAACACTGTCTCTATTTGAAATAGATACGTATATACAGCTAAAATAAAAATATCTAACCTAAAGATTAAGTGCAAACAATATAAGTCGAATTACCAATTTAATTACGTCTTTGTGCCTTAAGCGCTTGAGGGTCTGCAGTACCTAATTGTTTTATTGAGCAACTCAAGTAAATCACACACTTCAAAATTTGCAGAAGCTGAATTTTCATTAGACTGAAAAATTAAACGTGCTTTAATTGGACCGAACAATGAACTAAGTTTTTAATGTTATAGTTATTCCCACAAGTCGAAAAAGTAGAATCTACATTACAGTTAACTGTATATTATTTATTGTTAATTTTTCATTTTCTGTAGTATCTCTTAAAGATGTCAACGTTTCTTCGAGACGAATCATCTGCGAAAAAAAAAGCTTAATTTCAGATTTGATATAATAACGTAATTATTTTAACTTACTAGTGAAAAGTGATTCCTGGACATTTTAATGTATCGCAAGTGTATAGATAAATAGACTATCATCTAGGCTAAAAAGTATTTAATGCTGTCTTTGTAAACTTGAACTTAACTTGTCTGCTTAATAAACATCTTGCCCTTTTCTTGAATCCTTATTTTTTTTTAATTCTTATTTTAAAATAATTTCTTATTTTTTTAAGGATTAGGAGAGAGATTAAGTGAAGGATAGTAAGTCGCTAGTAATGTATAAAATAGACTAAATCATTAATAAACCTTAGAATTACAACAGAAGACAACACAATAATTAAGTATTATAAACATAAAAACCTTAATTAGTACTTAACGCCTTTGAAACGTCTAAAACTTTCTCCCGTGACGACAATGCAGTAAAGCATTCGAACCGTCGGGTTCAAAAAATCAAAATAAATCCGCGAAATAACCCGAAAAGATAGTTTTATGAAGAATGCCAAATATTCGTGTAATTCTAATCTATAAGCACCAATAATATTTACTAAAAATGTGGTGGGTAATTTCTAGAATTAATTATTCTATTTCAAAAATTCTTTCACTGATAGATACTTACAATATTTGTCTCTTCCTTTGCTCACAAACTCTAGCTCACGATAAGGTAACATCTTAAAACCAATTCAATAATCAAAGATCGGTTCAGGTAATATAATATGTTTCTTTAATATATATAATAGTTAGACATTATCTTCCGAATAATCTGTAACAACGATAAATGATCAAACTAGAAGTAAAATTATACAACGCATTCGCAATTTTAATAATAACTTGTCAAATCTTATACACATTGCTCTATATCTAAATTAAAGTCTATTTACGTATTAATATCTGTAAACTTCATTTATGAAACGTGAAGATAAATATATATTTTAAATATAATATTATGTACTAGCATTGCCCGCGGCTCCGCCCGCGTTCAGATGACCAAAAACCAAATACTTAGGTTTTACATACAAATATACTCTTGCAATGTAGTTTTTGTATTTTTTCTCAGAAATGAGACATTTTCCCGCGGTAAAAAGTATCCTATATGTTGACCCGGATAAGTAGCTATCATCATACCAAATTTCATCAAAATCCCTCCAGTGGTTTTTCCGTGATGCGGTAACAGACAGACAGACAGACAGACAAAAATTCTAAAAACTATAGATTCGGCCTCTGTATCGATGTTATAGTCTATTTCAATAAGATTTTCCAAAAAATATTCAATGCACAGATTGGGCTTAGTTACGATTTTATCATATGTATAGATGACGGAGAATCAACTTTCGAATCGAATCGTTACGAATCTCGTGGGAGTTATGAGGATTTAATGCGGGCACAAAATAAAGAATTCAACGCTCATTATAATTTATCTAGCGGCTCACCCTCGCTTCGCTGGGGTTCACCTGTAGAAAAACAAATCTATCCCGTCCCACGGGAACTGTACATTGTTCCGGGATAGAAAGTATGTGTTATTCTAAACTATACTTTATCTCTTTGTTAAATTTCATCCTTCTTCGTTCAACCGTTCAGGCGTGATTCAGTAACAAACATCCATCCAAATATCTAAACTTTTACATTTATAATGTTAGTATAGAAGAGGGAAATCACAATGTTATAAACTTGAAATGATAACTTTAATAGTTTGATTGAGCAGCCGGTTATTGACACCGATCTGATTTCAACATAGATACAATATCGAATCACAGTTCTCCAATGATGCACCATGATCAACCAACATTAACAAGCCACATATCTTCAAAGAATGTCAAGATGCGCCGTGACCCCTCTCGACCTCGGCTCTTAATTTGATTTTGATTTGACGTAGGTATAGGATATAACACAGTGACTCTAACCAATATTTTTTTTGTGTATATGATATTTTCCAATGGGTTTTACATTCTTGAAGAAAAATGTAAGAAATGAAATTAAATTATAATTCATTTCTACTAAATCCACTTCCTCCAACATGTATATTATATTATTACCAATATAATATTATATATATTAATTAATATACCATAGATGTTTTACGGCTATAACGTACACGAGACAAGATTATAAAGCTCGCGGCACACAAACACTAAAGACTTGTATACAAAAAGTAACGGTGTACCTTTTCGCATTTTCAATTTGTTCGATTACGGGTTCAGATCACCACTTAAAAAAAATGCAGTTAATCTTATTTTTAAAAATAAAATAATGTTTTCTTTGGGTGATACTTGGTTTTTTCAATATTTAAGACACTTTTGCGTTTGTTCCACGATGTAAGAATCTATATGTACAAATTGTAAGATTTCATGGTTTTCTTTAATGGTAAGATACAATGTTAGTTTGAGAGATTTTATTCTTACCAAAGACCCTAACGATTAATTCGATAAAGTAATGTCGGTTTCCTTTTTTACATTGTTATTTGGTTCGATTCCCGGTTTATGTAAGCTTTTTAAAAAAACAGTTATTATTATTTTTTAAAATAAAGAAATTGTTTCCTTTGAATAAATCGTGATAACTTCAATATTTAAGGTACTTTTCTTTCATATCCCATCCGTTTGCTTTGTTCCGTTCTGTATAACTCTTATCTGTAGCGACTTTGTTAAAAATCATGCCCTTACACCGTTCTCTTATTGCAATATGAAAATATATAAAAAAATCTTAAATATATTTTTTACCTTTTTAGTATATGTAAGAATAATTGTAATAGAAAATAATTTGTAGATTTAGTATAAGCCGCAAAAAATGCCAGTTTGTATCAAAACTATAATAAACATTTTCCGCAACATTTTCATTCAACATTCATGATTTTACTTAACATTAATTCAACATTTATTAATTTATAATTTTTTCATCCACAGCATTTGCCACAATATACACATCCGGTTTCGGCATTACAGCGGGTGTCCACAGACTTTGGTCTCATAGAGCATACAAAGCGCGGCTGCCACTAAGGATTTTACTTGCTCTACTCTTCACCATCACTGGTCAAGTAAGTAATTCACATACTGCGTAACATACCTCTACTGTTACGGGTTAAAAAATATGAAAAATAAAATGTCTTGCTATTTATAAGTTTTTTTTTCAATCAAATGAATAGGTAGTTTACGAATTACCGTTTATGTTGGTTTATGCTTGGAACATATCCTTAGAAATAGTTGATAGATTTATTTTTGAGCAATTATGAATGGACACTGAATTGGACGCAACATTGAAAGAAATCTTGCGAACGTTCACAAGAAACTAAATGAGCATCGAATATTAGAGTCAATTTAACGAATTGACCTCATTTATGATTGTGAGATGTAATGAACATCAATAAATACGTACAATAAACTTCCACAATAATTGTTATTATTATTTAGTTTACAAAAGTAAACAAAGTGTTATATTTCTATAAAGGTTTAAGGTTTTTGAAACATAATAGTTTAATAAAAACTAAATATCACATCAAATATTTGGCTTTTTTATGTACTGTTATTCTCGAAGTACTAATTGAATCAGATAACAAAACAAGCCTATGTATAATGTATGTATGTATTTGGTACCGTAGATTAATCAAAGGATACTATATATACCCAAAGTAATCTCGTCCATAATCATATCGTTGAAAGCATCTAGACTGCCAATTAGAATGTTCCGAGTAATAGGTACTCGGAAATGTGTAACACTTAAATTTAACTTATTGGTTTGTTCATCAATATTATATATTGTTACGTTCTATGAGTTCTTCTGCACTATAGATGTTTTATTACTTTTGATTCACAAGAGTTACTTATGACGGTTCACAAAAACGCGCAGTACATACGAAGTTCTGCCTTAACTCAGTTTGTGAGCATCATTTTTCACAACGTATTTCTACCCAGTCTTCTCTTCCAAAACGACAATACCGAAAGTGGTAAAAAGTACCATAAAAATAGTAAAAAGTTTTCAAAATTGACAAGTTTGTTGTCAATGTTCTTTAAGTTTTGATTTATGTCAATGTAAACATAAACATATTATTTATTACGCTTACGAAATGGAACTTTCCCAGATACAAATGTACTGTTTTTTTTTTCATTTTGGATTGAAAGTGCATTCCATATTATTATTGTGTATAGATGTATTCAATTTTTTTAAATATCTTATCCTTTAAAATATAAATTAAAAAATATATAAAGGAAAAGCATCGATAAGGCCTCATTTCTACCCCAAAATAACGAAAAAACTTTTGTCATACGATTTGATCTTTTCTTTACATATTCTGAAAGTAGACTGATAAGAAAGTATATTTATGACGAAAAAAAATACAATTAATACTACTTGTGAAACGCCAAAATTTGGTCTAACTTGGATTTTCGTTCAAAATGAGACATTTTCAATAATATTTCAACTTTTTTGTATAGAGCACATATAAGAAAGAATTTCTTTTTTATTTTATTTTGATGTTTTAATGTTACTACACAATAAATATGTTTAAAAACTAACGGCTCACCCTCGCATCGTTCGGGTTCATCCCTAGGGTATGTATACAACTTCCCTATTTGAATCGGATATTATTAAATTTTTCATTGGTTTTAATGTTTTTTCGTGGGACCATATTTATTTTCTAAAATAAAAGTAGCCTAAGTTACTCCTTATTACATCAGCTACGTGCCAGTGAAAGTTCCGTCAAAATCTATCCAGTTATTTTAGATATTAGCCGGAACAAACAGACAGACAGACAAAAATTGTTAAAAATGTTGTTTTGATATATAAAAAGCTGCTATTATGACATTACAAACAGACACTTCAATTTTATTTATCTGTATAGATTACAGTGCTTCCATCCTGCGCTCTATATAAAAAAAAAACAAATAATAAAGACCAAAATTTGGCGTCGCACAAGTAGTATTAACTGTAGTTTTTTTCTTTTGTAAATATATTATCTTATCAGGCACACAGTCTACATAGTTTCAGAATATGTTTAGAAAACATCAAATCGAATGACATATTTTTTTTTGTAATTCGGGGGAAATGAGGCCTTATCGATATCCTTTCTTTATCATTTGAAGTCCTAACTATCACCATAATATCGTATTAAATTCACTTTTTTAGGGTCTGTACTTCAAAAAGAAAAAAGGGACACTTATAGGATCAATTCATTGTCTGTTTCTCAAGAACGCGTAGAGGTATCAAGTTGAAATTAATGTTAAATACTCAGGTTTGCCATCTCTTGAAGCTGTGAAAAAAAAATTCTAAGTCTACGCAATTAAAAGATGATAATGACACTCGCAAGGGAATCAAAATTAACCAAAAGCAAACAGTAATATCTTATAGCATAAGTCAAGGGTAAAATCCGAAACCCGTAAATTTTTAGTTACATGACAAAGAAAATATATATTTTTGCGATTATACACATATTTTATTGTTTCATGCTACGGAATCCTCGGTGTGCGAGTCAGACTCGAATTTGTCCGATTTTTTTATATAAATCTTTGTTATTAGATTTACGATCGGCCTGCCTTATTCTGGGCTTATTCGCACCTCGCGTGTCTTCTCATCTTGTTAAAGATAAAAAATAAATAAGTACTGTGATTGGAAATAGCATTAAAGTAACTATTATTTTTAAGTTTGAGAGGGATAAAGGAGATCTACTGTTATACTACGATTAAAAAATAATAAAAATAATAGCGTATATATTTTTCAGAAAGATATCTACACATGGGCTCTAGACCACAGAGTGCATCATAAATACTCAGAGACTGTAGCGGATCCCCATGATGTGCGACGGGGGTTTTGGTTTGCTCACGTCGGGTGGTTGGTCCTTACACCGCATCCAGCTGTAGAGAATCGAAGAGTCGCTCTTAAAAATACTTCGGTTGATCTCATCAACGACCCTGTAGTACTATTACAGAGGAGGTTAGTAAAAAAATTCTATTTAAATTTTACAACTAAATCTTTAATAGGTTTGAATAAACTTGTACACATTTGTACAATGCGAGTAATATGTAAGTATGTATTTTGGAAAAAAAAATTAATTTTTTCCCCCCGAATTTCGGTCCCTCTCGTAACCATTATTGCTACACGCAGTCGAAACGTCGTGAACCAAAAATCAAAATAAATCTGCGAAAAAAATCCGAAAATATAGTTTTATTTAAGAATAGTGGCTCAACCTTGCTTCTCTCGGGTTCCCCTCTAGACAAACAAAAACAAATCTATCCCACGGGAACTGTACATTTTTCCGGAATAAAAATTAGCATATTTGTTAATCTGATGTATGAACTATATTACTGTAAAGTTTCATTAAAATCTAATCAGTAGTTTTTGTGTACTAATCTGTATAAGTTAATATAGTTTTTTAACAATTCCACGGGAACTCTTTAATTTTCCAGGATGAAAAGTATCTAAGATGTTGGCCGGGGATATAAGGTACCACCATGCTAAATTTCATTCAAATAAGTCTAACGGTCTCGGAGATTAGCCCGTACAAACAGATAAACAGATAGAGAAACAAAAAATAAAAAAAATGGATTTGTTTTATTTCTCTCCTTACATTCCTCTGGCTCGGCTTTTAGCATTTTTTTTCTATGTACAGACAATCGACCTCTACAGTTTTATTAAATGTATAGATGTCATAATTTATATTCCCGCTTAGAAAAACTTTTATGTAAGCATGCATGTTAAAAAAATCATTTTTTTAATATGTAAATTGAATGCATTTTATATTATTAATAAATCCTTTAAAATATAAGAGATAAATTTCAAGAAAAGGGCAAGATGTTTATTAACCTACAATTCTAAAGTAGACTAAAGACAGCATTAAATAATTTTTAGCCTAGACCATGGCTTATTTATCTATACATAATTATGTATAGTAAAATTCTAAGTCGAATCTGTACATTAAATATTTTTTGGAAAATCTTATTAATAGTCATTATTATCGATACAGAGGCCGAATCTATAGTTTTTAGATATTTTTTGTGTCGCTCTGTCTGTCTGGGAACGCATTACGAGAAAGCCACTGGACAGATTTTGATGAAATTTGGTATAGCTGGTTATCCGGGTCAACATATAGGATACTTTTTACTGCGGGAAATTATCTCATCTCTGAGAAATCTAACCTAACGGTTAAAATGTATCTAGGGACAAACCCGAGCGGAACGAGGATGAGTCGCTAGTTTTGTCTGAAAAAATGCGTTAATATATGATAACATTATTACCAAATATGCCAAGAATTGTTTCCTGACTAGAATCTGTAACATTTATAATATTTACTACAAGCATCTTGACATATTTGGATATAATTTAAAGAAATTTATAGCTGAACTTAAAAATAAACACTAGAGTCTAATAAATATTACTTTTATATATTTCTTTTTATTTTGTAGCTACACATTTTATTTGTATCTGTTTTAATTTTATTGTTAGTAAGTTTACTCTGCTACATTTGTGTATAAGTGGAAACTTTATTGGCTAAGAGTATTATTTCTTATGTATTTTGCATTTTATGCTTATATATGCTGTTTGTTTTCCAACTTACAAAATAAATAAATAAATAACATAGCATAATCATATTTATGACGATTATATTTATTGTTTATCTTCAATAACTTTCTCCAAGGATTTTTCAGGTAAGTTAAACCCTCAAACTGTTATCGATCACAAACGCAATTTAACGACAACAAAAACACTGGTTTTCGAACTGATATAAAAAATCTAATGAACATTTAAATTTTAAAAATATAAACTGTGATCTCATCCAATATTTCACTCAAGCTTAAGGGCTAATACTTCAAAAAAAAAGGTAACTTAATGGCTTTATAAATATAATAGTCCCCGGCAGGCGACTCACGTGATGGATAGCTATGGAATTTTTGAAATAGATTTGTCTTCTTTATACTATTTAACGGCCTTAGAACTTATTCATTTTTTCCGGAATTCTTTTTTTCTTTTGTTGCGCATATGAAGCTATAAGCAGCATCTACAGGATAAGAAATGAAATTAAACTGGTATCCCACGGAAATGCATTACAATGTTAAAAATATCTAACCTTATAAAGATAACTCTCTATGCAAGATATTTAAGTGATAATTCAAATGCATCCAAAGGCAGTGGTAGCCCAGTGGTAACGCAATCGCCTGGGAAACCGAGTGAAGCGGGTTGAAATCTCGGGTCTCGCAACTCTGATATTTTCATGTGCGAATTATTTCTAACATAATTACCACTTGCCTTACGGTGAAGGAAAACATCGTGAGGAAACCTGCATGTCTGGTTTCGAGAAGCCCGTACCCAGCAGTGGGACGTTAAGAAGGGCTGAATACAATTCAAATGCTAGTCTAAGACATGACAACTATGTCATATTAGATTAAAATCCGTTCAACCTAGAAATTAACATCTTCATATTCTCACATTTATATCATTAATAGGTTTCAAGATTAAACATTTTGTGATATACCCAGTACTTAATTATATTATTTGCAGGTTTTTCATTCCTCTGTTTATATTGCTGAACTTGGTGATACCTGTGGGTATTCCTGTATATTTTTGGGGAGAAACGTTGTTAAATAGCTTTGTTGTAAGCTTTGTGACGAGATTTACAATCACTCTAAATATTGCGTTCTGCGTCAACAGCTTCGCGCATTTATGGGGCAACAAGCCTTATGACAGGTAAATTTATATTTACATGCTATGGAAAAAACTTAAAAGCTAAATAAATATAAATATGTTGGGACATTAACACACAACACCATCTAAAGTCTGATTTTTAATTCCACGGAAATATGACAGCTGTCATTCTTTGACAATTCAGATATCATAAACCTTTTCTGCTTTGAATTTTTTAAATATAAAATAACAAAAAATATGAAACAGAATTAGATCAAATAAACTATATGTATGACATTGTAAATAGTCTTTGTTTTGTGCATTTAATGCACGATAACTATAATGTAAATTTTTAATGGTTAAATGAATAAAACAGAGTAAAACAAAAAATATTTTACATACAAATAGGTTTTCCCAAAGAAGGCTTGCAACCAATGGATTATTGGACAGGGATTTCTGTAATAGAAAAATAATTTCCTTAATAATTATTGTAACTTTAATAGTATGAAAATAAAAAAAAAATTACCATTTTAGAGTTATAATACTTGATACTAAATGACAGCATATCAGATTAATATTTTTCATTTCTCATTTGTAAAAGTATATAGTAATAGTGTTGCTTAGTAAGTTGTTTTAAATAATAGTAAACTAAATTGAAATAATTATCCTTAATTAACTTTAACTTTTAAATTACACATAGAACAATTATATGGCTTAAATAATTAACACTATATTTTATATTTTTCTTTATGGTTATAAATATAATAATAGCAACACTAAATATAGATTACTAATTAATATTTTAAAATTGTAATAATTATAAAAATAATAGCAAAAATTAAATAAATAATATTCCATATTCAATTATAATTAAAATTATAAAAATGTTTAAAGTTAAAAAATAATGTAATGTAATTGGTGCAATTTTCATTTTGTTAATTGTGGGTAGGCTGTCTGTAACAACTATACCTCCAAGACATGTAACACCTTAGTCTCTCCCGTGACCATGGATGCTGTAAAGCATTCGAAACGTCGGGAAACAAAAATGCAAATAAATCCGCGACAAAATCCGAAAAGATAGTTTTATTTAAAACATTTTAGAGTTAGCAATAATTTTTTAAGTCTTAGTTTTTCTAATTGCAACCTTAATTCAATTCAAGAAAGGTTTATTTTTTATTTTGCTAAAATGCTTTCCGTTTTTAGTGACAATGTTTCAAAGTTGACAACACTTCTGAAATGTCAGAATTCCGTCGAATTAAAAATCAGACTATAGTTCCATGGTAAGCTACGAGGCTTGTGTTATGAATACTAGATAGTTGATACACTACACATATATAACTGTAAATACATACATAATATAAATATATAAGCCCCCATGACTGAAGTACAAGCATTCGTGCTCATCACACAAATGAATGCCCCCAATGCCAAATGAATGAATGCATGAAGGACCGCTGGCACAGCAAGTAGGGGTCACTACAAACTGAGCCAAACGTGTTGTCAAAAAGCTATGAATAAAGAATGCATAAAATGCCCTAAACAACGTTTTTGTAAGGATTTTTTACTAAATGTGCACGTATTAGTATCAATAATCTATAAAATTATGTTTATGAAATACTAAACCTGACAGACCTTATGTCCATATTTGGAATAATAAGTTATCTTTCACTTTATGCAAAATCTAGCCGGTGATCAACTGATGCGCTAACCAAAGTACAGTACCTACTCCTATTTCATTCTGCACGAGCCTTTATAAAGTTTTCTTTTGTAGTTTATTTATTTTCTAGTTGTTTAAATGCATCGTAAACAATTTGTGTATTAAACGACCTCATGCTTACAGATTCATAAAACCAGTGGAAAATTCAATAGTAAGTTTAGCCGCTTTGGGCGAAGGATGGCACAATTATCACCACGTTTTCCCTTGGGATTACAGAACGTCAGAATTAGGAAGACTGAACATATCAACATGGTTTATTGATACATTTGCAAAAATTGGATGGGCGTATGACTGTAAGACCCTTATTAAAATTTTAACATAGTTTAAATTACAGATTTTCAAACATCAACTTTACATTCCGAACATGTCTAATATACTATACTTTAATAAAAATTAATACACTTTAGTAAATAATTATCAATAGTAGTTAATAATATTTTTTTAATTTTGATTTATACATAAATCAATTTACCTGCGGTCAGTAATGCTCGTAGTAAAATATTTGAAGATTATGACGTAAGAGAAAAAAATATTTAATATATAACAACTCTATATGTCATAATTTTAAATCTATCTATACATACATATATCTTCTAAGTCGTTACACTCTTGACAGAGTAGTCCTGGTCGTCACTTGAGCGCTGTGGCACGCTTGACTATTCGTCGCCACTCCTCTCTAACAGCCGCTTTCTTCGTGCATTCGTGTAAGGGAACATTCATCGCAGCCCTCACTTGGTCTGCCCACCTCATGGGTGTTCTGCCACGTGCTCTAGTGCCCTCTACTCTTCCTTGAACCACTAAACGTTCAATCGAAACATCATCACGTCTTGTTACATGACCAAAGAAAGTGAGAATGCGAGACTGTACAGTAGAGGATAGACGTTGCTTGATGCCAAGTGTATTAGTCCGGAAATCGTTCCAAGACACTCTCAACATTCTTCTCCAGCACCACATCTCAAGAGCGGCTATTCTCTTCTTCTCACTTTCTCGCAGGGTCCACGTCTCCGAAGCGTAGAGGAATATGGGAAACACAGGTGCTTTTACTAGCCGGGTTTTAGTGGCCTTGGTTACGTTGCGGTTTTTCCATATTTTCTGCAACTTATCCATGGCTGATCTAGTTATCGCCATACGTCTCTTGATTTCATCTATGCATCCACCGTTGTTCGAAATTAACGCTCCTAAATAGATATATGATTGGACGACTTGACAGTTCGCGATTTAAGTCACTTACATACTCGTATATACATATAATATAATGCTGAGTCGAATCTGTACATTAAATGTTTTTTGTAAGATCTTATTAAAATAGATATTATTATTGATACAGAGATCGAATCTATAGTTTTTAGACTTTTTGCCTGTATGTCTTGCTGTCTATCTGGGAAGGCATCACGAAAAAATCTCTGGAAATTTTCATGAAATTTAGTATGATAATGATAGCTGGTAATGCGGGCAACATATAGAATACTTTTTATTGCGAGAAAATATCTCATATCTGAGAAATCTACTAAGCTTTAAAACGTAACTAGGGACGAACTAAAAAGAACTAGGGATGAAAATCTTATTCCAGTAAAAGCCGCAACAGCATCCATGATCATCAACAGAGCTAGCCGAAGTGGTGATGGCAGTCTCGGAGAAATTGAAGAACCAGATCCAAGCTGTTCTACAAATTACAGTCACGAAGAAAAATATTTATAAGCATTTACTAACTTACCTGTTGACATAGATAGAGTGGTACTTAAATAGATTTTCTATTTAATTACAAACAGCTAGTCTTGTTATTCAATGTATCATTAATCCTTCCATGACCGTGGACACGCCGGCGTTACAGTTAACAATAGATTTCTTAGGAATTTAATTAATTTCTTAGAAATTTACCTGGAGGTGTTAATGTTTAACGCTGAAGTATTTTGATTCCCATTTACATTTTTACAAGTAATTATTGAAAGTAAATTGAAACTAACATAAATTAGAATCTTATTTACCTATAAGGCATCACTTCTTTCCTATATATTTAAAGAATTTTCTTTTATAATAGTTTAAAATATTCAAAAGTAAAAATCTTTGCATTTGTTATTCGAAATTGAAATTTCTGATAATGTTTATGGTCGAAATTCAGCCATAAACATTATTGAATAGGGTATGGCCGGATAAGTATAAGAAGTAATTGTTTTCAGATTTTTTATTTATTAACCACACAATTGCTTCTAACCAAAAAAAGTGATTGACAAACGGAGGAGAATAAGGTACTGTACTGTTTGTCTTTGCCATTTAATATATAATAAAAACCGTCTGCAGAATAGTTATAAGTAGGTACTACTCCTACGCTAGAAGTCGTGATTTCAAGGTCTGTTCCTAATAAATTTTTGCTATAGACTAAGACATATAAATTATAATTGCTTGTATTATGTGTTCTGTGTATGTTTATAACAATTGACCTAGAGAGGATCAATGAGTGTGTAATATTATTTATTTATTTATATAATAATCGGCGTTATGACAATTTTATTTATGTATATGTATGTATTAGCAAAATAAAATTGCAACTTTTATAATGAAGTTTTAATGAGCTAATGTTTGAATATTCGTAAGTACATATTTTAGTATTAACTGCTTATAGGTACAAGTGACTATGGGCGGCGGCAGATATTTCCAAGGAGGTGCATCTGCTTGTTCACATTAAACTATTAAAATAATCTTTAAATTATTAAAATTAAAATTTTTATTCATAAATATTTCTTTTAATATTTGTGAGGAATGTTTTTTATCTTTTTTTCCCCAGATATTAAGGTTTGAAAAGATATTTCACAAATATCATTTTATTTCTTTAATATTTCTGTATTTATCTTCATGGCACCTTCTTGCACGCATTTATTGACTGACGTATTGTATAGGATATGCAGTTATTAAATGAATGTACCTATCTGAAAACCGGAAGAATTAAAATCGCGCTGTGTATTCGCAGGGCGGACTTAGCTGTAGTTTAATAAAACGTAAACTTTTCTTCAACAAATAATATTTTTTCTACTGGCATTAGATTTTAATAGAATACTTGTTTTTAAAAAATATGCATATTTTATTTTATATTAACCGTACCTTATAAATTATTATATTATATTTTTTTAGTAATAAACATAATATTTTAGTTAAGTTTAAATTTAGTGTATAAAATCAAAATATAAACTCAAAAAAACATGTTTTGTTTTTATCTTTATTAAATAGAAATGATAAATGTGATTATCAGTTTATTTTTTTTTTCTTCTTTAATATGACATTTAACAAGAACTTTGGTATTACCTTTTATCCTATTCCCATAAACTTAGTAAAGACCCGTTCAATATTAAAATGAATTGAACCTAGGTGATACGTCAGTTGATTAGTAAAGATAAAATTGTTGTAAAAATAATTTAAGGCAGTCCCACGAAATATATAACGTTACATCTATACATATAATAAAATTGTAACTGAGCCGAATCTGTACATTAAATATTTTTTAGAAAATCTTATTGAAATAAACATTATTATCGATACAGGGATTGAATCTATAGTTTTTAGAATTTTTGTCTTCTTTCTGTATGTGTCTGTCTGTCTGTTACCGCATCACAGAAAAACCACTGGAGGGATTTTGATGAAATTTGGTATGATGATTGCTGGTTATCCGGGTCAACATATAGGATACTTTTTAACGCGGCAAAATGTCTCATTTCTGAGAAAAAATACAAAACTGCAATGTAAGAGTATACTAATATGTAAAACCTAAGAATTTGGTTTTTGATCATCTGAACGCGGGCGGGGCCGCGGGCAATGCTAGTCAGTCTATAAATGTAAACATTTGGTCTTGCTAATAGAAAGCTCCACTATTAACCCAAAAAAATCATTACAAACAACTGTTAAAATAACGAATGCCCTGAAACTAACGGTGTATGATACGTATATATATATATATATACATATATATATAATATATATATATATATATATATATATATTAAAATAAAATAAATATAGACGAAAATCGACATTCAGAGATTAGTTTATGATCTTCAATCATCATAGTATTTTAAATCTTTTTTTTTTAATTTATCTCTTGATTTATTAATTCAGTAATAATAATAGTTTCACTCATGTAGTACAGTGCTATAAGTATTAAGTAGTAAGTACACATCAAATAAAAACAAATAATTGAGTATACATCATAAATACAGATTACCTACTTTTAAAATAACAAATTTAGATCATTATTATGATTCTTGCCACAATTCCATATTGCGGACATAACTTGTACCGTGTACGGTAATAATTAAGTGTGCATTTGTTTTGTATATAAAATTATAAGATCTCCTACGTATACCTATGGCTAGTGTCAGTGAGATTAACTCCCGAGGCATTATAGTCCCTGGAAGACATTATATCTTCGAGTTTAGATAGTATAGCTGAATTTACCATAATTTTATTATCACCATGATATCAGGAGGTACTCAATACCTTATCAGAATTTGTAATGTAATATTGGGATGGTATACAATATTTTAATTCTCTTACTTAATATTTAATAAGTATTCTCCCAATATTTATGAAAATGGTAAATAAAATTACTGCATATCAAAGTTACATGAGTGGTGCTTTTGTTATTTTAAAGGGGCTTATACATATTTATACATACGTTATGAAAAATAATCGTTAAACTATTTGATGGGTAAACATTTTAAAAACCGTAAATACCTAAGTATAATATACTGTTCATCCTATCCTATTGCTGCATAGTATATTATTTATATCAACCCGATGTATTCTCTGATTGAGGTAGAAATCAAGCGCAACACCCTGAATGTCATACAAATTCAGTTTAAGCCAAAGTGTTTGATGATATACACAATCAAAAGCTTTAGACAAATCGCAAAAAACATTAATTTAACATTCTACGATTTCTCCCATGCGTCGTAAATGTGCCTAAAAAGCGCAGCACCGGCATCATTTGTAGATTTACCTCTGGTGAAGCCATATATATAGCCATACCGTGGCCATACTGTTCACCATGCATAAAATTGATAATAAAAGAAACTAATTATGTTAAAACTATTTAACGTATATTTTGCTTAAAGCAGTTCAGTTATAATAATAATAAAATGGGCCTGTAGAGTCCAGGTTTAAATGTATCACCGCTTTTAAACAAAGGTACTACTTTACTACGTTTCATTAAATCGGGGAATGTACCGCTATCTACACATTTATTAAAAATAATGGCTAAATAAGGAACAATATTTATTATAATATTACTTAGTAATTTAATGACATCCCCCATAAATCACTAGTCTTTTTTTGATTTAAAGTTTTGAATATTTTTTACGATATCTGCTGAAGCAACATGTTTGAACACGTATAAATTATAATCGTTATTTACTTTAACATTAGATTTTATTACTTTAATTGCCTCTGGGAGAGTATTTTAACTGAATATTTAACTACTACTAATACTTTATAGAATTGATTTTTAATGATCTTCTTTCCATCTTAATTAAGTGGTGTTGTTATGCAAAATTATTATCTACTAGTAATCAACCAAAATCATCTTTGATTTACTACCGTTTATTACTGAATTTCACTCTATAATGCATGGTATTTATTTTTTTACTGCATCATACCACAAAGTTTTAATGTCTCAACAAATACAATAAAAAACATGAAAGGAACTTACAAACTTAATAAACTTAAAACTTATTTTCCAATAAAACAGCTCAGAAGGGTTTTCCAGGAAGACAAATATTCGGCAATTAACAATTATATTTCTCGCCTTTTCTGTATACTCATTTTACATTTATATTTTATATTTGTAACTCATATAATCCGAATCCCCAACTGTCCACTTGACATATCAAAAATCTATTGTCAAAATCTACAAACTGGTACTGTATACGAGTAAAATAACTGAATGTTACAGTCGGCCATCCGTTACAATAACGAGTCCCTTCGTTTTAGGCCACACTAAGTAAAAAAAAGTTTTACAATTCATTACAATTGATGATTCACATTTCACTCATCTTACATTACAAAAAAGTTTGATGTATTCTGCTACTTAGCAATCTGTTCGTTCTTAACAATAATCAAATATGCTGTTACATTTTTATCGGTAAATGAATCTTAAGTAGAGGCGTGCACCCAGTGGTACAATCCTCATCTTCACTCTGTGAATCTAGTCGCTAGGTTCGATATACTATTTCTCTTAAGGAGAGAGAATCTTAGACTGCCCACCCCCTTCAGTTCGGCAGCTAATTTATTTATACGTCGGTCCAATCTGGTTTGATAATTATTGCTGTTTAACTCGATATCTTCCTTCACTGTTTGCAGATTGAAATCTAGGTTAACATATTTATTACTTATATGTGATGGAATATTGATCATGGTTCTCATTGTTTTGCTCTGAAACCTTTCGAGTATTTCAATATTACTATGGCTGGCTATGCCCCAGAGCTGAATGCCATAAGTCCCTATAGGCTTTCCGCTTTAGTATAGCTTTATAGATATTAGATAGCCATTTTACTGTCATTTGTCAACGATGACTTACGACTGATGAGCTAATACATGCTGCGGAATTTGTATCTAGCTGTTTCCTTTTAGTCCATATGTGTTTGCGCCAAGTGAGTCAACGGTCAAGATGTATACCTAAGTATTTGGCGTCATCAGATTGTGGGATCTCT